AAAGTCAATTGTATTCTGAGCTGTTTCAAAAGAGGAGTGGCCATCAGGTCAAGGGAGGCGACTCTGTCCCTCTCACCTCTCCTGAAACCCCATGTGGAATACTGCTTCCACCTTTGTCTCCAGCATAAGAAGGACACAGTCCTGTTGGACAGGTCCAGAGAAGGGCCACAAAGGTGATCAGAGGTGGTGGAGTACCTCTCCTATGAGCACAGGCTGAGAGAGCTGGGGTTGTTTGGCCAGGAGAAAAGGTTCCAGGGTGACCTTAGAGGAGTCCTTCCAGTACCTAAAGGAGACTATGGGAGAGAGACTTTTGACAAGGAAATGTAACAATAGGACAAAGGACAAAGGCTTCTCAAAAGAAAAAAAAGGGCTGGATTAGATTACGTATTAGGAAGAAATTCTTTACCGTGAGGATGGTGAGACACTGGAAGAGGATGCATAGAAAAGTTGTGGATGCCCCATCCATGGAAGTCTTTCAGGCCAGGCTGGATGGGGCCCTGAGCAATCTGGTCTAGTGGAAGATATCCCTGCCCATGGCAGGGCAGCTGGAACCAGATGGTCTTTAAAGCCTTTAAGGTAATCCAAACTATTGTATCATTCTACAGTCTTTCATATCCCTTTGCTCTCCTCTAAGGTCATGTTAGCCTTTAGCAAATACCACCTTTATGTCCACATTTTCTGTCAAGGAATTCAATTACATTCTGAGTGCAGAACCACCTCATTTTATTTACTTTGAAACTGACTCCTGCAAGCCTTACATCTGTTACATGTCAGTCTTGTACTGGCCAAGACAGAAGACATTTGATTTTCCTCTGCCCCCTTGGTCCATCATTCAAGGCTCTGAATTTGCAATACTACAGAAGTCTGAACCCATCAAATGTGATCATGCTGGTAAGTGGGTAAACTGCAATAATCAGCAAAATACCTCATAGAAAACAAACACAATTTGTGAAGTCATGATCTGCAATGCCTGGCATGGCTAAGATTCCTGGCATTCCTCAAGAGTCACAAGGAAAACCAAGATCTCTGGTACAAGCCAAAAGTACACTTCTGTTTAGTTTACTACTTCTGCAAGTTAGATGTGAGCATCATAGAAGGACAAAATACACTCTTGGGATTAACTCCCATTGTTTTGTATCAGGTTCTGTTCTCAGGTGAGAAACTGTATTACAATAAGAACATTATTTTGCTCAGACATACATGTTAGACTACTCATACAACATACTGAAATAGCCAGACTTAAAGGACACCATGGACATTTATGCAAATTCTCAAAAAATTTAATTCCAGTTGGTGCTGACCTACGTTAAATCTGTATCTTTTTGTAATTCTACCACTGCACCTTCCCTGTTCTTCCACAATATTTATTATAACCAGTACCATAGGCCTTGACTACATATTCCATAAAGCAGGAATCATTGCTTCCTTGTGTGTTTCAACAGCTACCAGTGGAGACTCACAATGATTATAGCTCCTGGAAAGCAACTGGGAAGCTTGTATTTTAAGTTGTGTTGTATCTATCTGCCAACAAACCCAGTTATATTTCCAAGACAAAAACTGTTTCGGTGTCTTGAAAATGGCAGAATCCACACCTAAATTATCTTCAACACTGAGTTGTAAGCTAGTTTTTAAATTAAAAGTTACTGTTTTATTCCTCCAGACAATTTTTCAGTTAAGAGTTTCACTTTTTAATTTTAGTTAATATATATTAACTGCTTGAAAGAGGATAAAATCAAATGTGCATTTAGCAGCTTTATACCATCCCATGTTATACCATAAGAAGTCTCTGCCTTTAACAAAAAATTGCTGATTTTATCACATGGAGTTTAGTGATTATCATCACACTTACTATGAATTTCAAATATTCCAACATATATATAATCAACATGTGAATCCTTTTATTTTACTACAATATCAAGAAATTAAGGAAGTGGAATCTACAAACAGTTTGAGTGTTGTATATTTGTGTCTGCAGTCATACTCATACACTCACAATTGGTAAAATTTTAACACTAAATTCACTCTATATTGTCTGTCTACATGCTCAAAAGCTTGGGCAACACTATATACTCAGCTGCTGCCCATGCAGCTTCCATATAATGCACTTCCACAAGGACAGCACCTAATTGCATTTGCTCTTACATGAGAATGCATTTCTTTACTGTATCATTCTCAGCAGACTACACAGGCTCAGAGCAGCAGCTTCTGAGTATTTTTACTGGGGGGGGAGCAGGTAACACTTTATACTGGCACAAATGCTCGATTTTCACAGCTTCTGTTACCACTGACAGCACTTTCAGGTAGGTGCAAGCAACGCCATAAACAAACAAGAGCCACATACACATATTTGGGTTTAAATCACTTGCTCATCCTCATATAGGACCAAGCAAAGCCAATCCTCATTTCTTTTTTCCTTCAGCTTAGTGTGTCATTTGCTATGCTCCTTTCACTTCTAGCATAAACCAGCCTTCAGGCACTAAACAACACTAGTTGAATCACCAAGCACTGTTTATCACAAGCTCTAAATAAATAGGATTTCTGTATGGAAAAACTGATTTAAAATGATAAAATGCAAAAGGAACTCAAATTTAGTTTAAGGAAACTTGTCTCACATGTGTGTCTCGATTCCTGAATATTTTGACTGTAAACTTCATTTGAGATATTATGGATACTAAAGATTTTACATGGGCTCAACCAACACGGACACTTCATAGAAGAAAAATCCATGAGATCCTGTTAAGTAAAACACCACCACTCTGGCTCTGGAACTCCCTGAGCTGTGAATCATTAAAGGCTAGAAGAAGCTGAACAGGTTGCCCAGAGAGGAGGTGGATGCTCAGTTCTGGAAAGATTAAAAGTTAGGTTGGACAGGAGTCTGAGCAACCTGTTTTACGTGAAGATGCCCCTGCTCATTGCAGGGGTGTTGGACTAGGTGAGCTTGAAAGGTCCCTTTCAAACCAAGCTGTTCTATGATTCTATGAGAAGTGTCTTGGGGAGATATCATTGTGCTTCTGCACAGGTCTTACACTCATCTCAAGGTATCTGCTGCTGACCACCACTGAGGACAGGACACCAGCCAGATGACCTCTGGTCTGATCCAGTATCACCCACAGTCTCTCTCAAACAGCATCATGCAGAGTCACAACACTACCATGGCTTTTCTAGGTGGTTTACAACTATCCTAACAATAAATCTGATTAAAATTGTCAAGGATTTATGACACAAGCTCTAAAGTTTGACAGCACCTTACCAATGTAAAAGTTTTTTAAGGATGTAAATCAAATGGTTTCTGAATGTCATACCTCTTTTACTTTCTTTACTTACTAATAAACCTTACATATTTTTATTACAGTAATACCCCAAAGGATATTGTTATGATAACATCCTAAATAAATACATAAAAACATCATCATCTTTGCCTCTAAAGTACTTGATGTAGGCCAAGAAACAGTAGATTAACAGAAAAGTTGAGTACTACATAACCTGAATTACTTGAGAGGTAGTTTGGAAAAGGTCATCTGAGTTCCACAATGATTTTGAGAAAAAAGTGAATAAACAAATAGTGTAACTGATGGCTGAGAGTCCTCCTTGGTAAGAAGGTTGGTAAGGTCCTTAGTAAGGACCCTTGCCCCAGGGTAACCTACTACCATCACTGAGAGAGTTAATCCATAACCAGTTTGATTCCATGAAATGGATTTAGAACTCGTCAGCATATTTAAACATCTCTCACCATACAGTAATTCATTCTTCTGGCCGAAGCAAAAACACAAACAACTAAGCACGTGGACATCTTACACAACATTGGCAGAACAAGGAGGAGGCACCCAGAGTGAAGAGCAAACAATTCAACCATTCAAACACAAAACGAAACAAAATAAATCACAAAAGCCAAGCAAAACCAAGAGTGTGTCCTTACAACTAAAATAACAACTAAATGGAAGTATCAAAAATCTGATTAATTTTAGCAGTTAAAATCTCAATACCTGATTTACACGAGACACTGCACAGCAGTGAATCTCAGTTTTCAAGTGGTATAAGATACCAATCTCTAGGAAGTAGCCCTTCTTATCTTAAAACTGCACCATGATTCACACAGAATCAGAGTGAACAGGTTTTACCAATTAATTGAGAAGAATTGCAAGCTATAAAACACACCTTGGATTCCATGCAAGTCTGCAGACTATAACATTCCTAACACCAGTCTTCTGACATGCTTAGGCCAGTGTAACGGAAGGAATCCCCATTTTACAAAAAATTCCCTGCTACAGAAAACACAAACCAAACCCTACTTCTGGCCAGACACAAACTATATACTTTTGACAATAGTTGATGCTGAAATGCAATTCAAAGTCAGACATGAGAAAAAGCAGACGTCTCCATGTTTAAGTGTCCAAAAAGTACTTTCAAGAGGATATTTCAAACACCCACTAGCACTAGACTTATGTTTAGGAAACGCTTTTAAGAAAAGTAGGAATTTGAAACTCTTTCACATGAGCCATCTCCTATCTGTGCCATTACCACTTAACAAGTGCCACTCCAGTCCCAGTACTATTTAACCCATGCACATCAGAGATAACCCTACTTCTAATGGACTATTTTTATGACTGCTTAGTTTATGGAACTGGAATCAAATAACAAAAGATGCAGAAATGCATTACAAATCTTCCAACCAAAAGAAAAGAATTCAAACTAAAATGTAGGCAAGCAATAAACTGAAACAACAACAACAAAAAAAAAAATAAAAATTGAAAAATAAATTAAAAAATCTAGAACAACATAGCAAAGAACATTACATTTCTAAACCTCTGCCTCATCATTTTATTCCCCTTATCTTAAATAAAAAATAATAATTTAAACTTTCTGGCACAGCAGATAAAGTTTATGAAGATATTTTTTAATGTTGTGATATTCTACAAAATATAACAAAAAAGACACCTTTTTTTTAATCTACCAATTTCTTAAGAAGCAAACCTCAAAATCTGCAGTAATAATGTACTCACCAGCACTGCCACTCTCTGATTTTTCTTCTGATTGGTTTTCTGGGAAAAAAATAAACAGAAAAGTAATCATAATGTTTCTGTGTTGATTATTTGAAATTACATCTAATAACTGGGTTGCAAAGTAAATAATGATAAATGATGATATAATCAAAATCACCAGGTCTGATTAATATTTATAAATATACCTTCTGAGGAATAATTTGTTACCAGGAGCAACAAAAAAATAAATTCCTTTAGTGCCCAAACTCACAACTTAAATGAGAGAATTCTATTGCACCTATGACTGAACTCTGTGAGAACAAAGTTACACATTTATATAAAATGAATAGTAGGATTATGCTCAAGCAATGTACATTATTCATTTATCTCACTGGTCAGTCTAGACAAATGAATATTTTTATATAGTACAAAAATAATCAGGGTTCTGCAAAAGAATTTTCTTAATTGGTATTAGGTAAATTTTCTACCTTGATCAACCTCTTCTCTACCCTTTCTACAGGCCATGGAAGAATTTATTTCTTCGAGCTTTTTCCTCTCTGATTATTTGTCCTCAATTGGTACTACAGTCCACTAGTATTTTTTTGTCAAGTAATTGTACTTGTCAAGTATAACAAATACATATAATCAGAAACATCTCCTGTTCCATATAGCAGAGAATCGTAAGTATGTATGAAACAGACACAGTTTTGCAAAGTGACTTGCTAAAAAAATTATCACTCTGGTGAATGGCAGAGTCAGATTCAGAAACAGCTTTCTGCAAGAAATTCCAATCCCTCATTTCAAGGAATGGCTGCCAGTAGATTTATTGTGGTAACCTGAATTGTAACCCCTACCAAGTCCTACAAGATTAAACCCCTCCATTAATTTGTCAGCATTATATTTGACAGTTCCTCCTATATTTCTCCTTTTTATGCATCCTCTGATGCAGAGAACAAAAAGAACATTTTCACTTCCCTAGAACACAGTTAGAAATGGTAAAACATACTTGTCCTTTGCTTTCAACTGAGACAAGTTACAGCTGTCATTACAGGCTATTTACTTACAGGCAAGAGTGAATTACTAACTCTAACTCAGAGAGTAATTTTTGAGTTCAGTTAGGTTGATAATTTCTGCCATTTACAGGCTGGGTATTAAAAGAACTGAAAATATAAAATATTTTAGAAAACCTTTTTCTTGCCACTGATTTTTGCTTTCTTTGAAGGCTTCTGTCCCTCTTTTCTCCTTGAGATGGCTTGAGAGCCTGAGGACTAAATACAAGCATAAAAACCAGTATCTTACAGCTCCTTCTTTCTTTACACCAGGTGCCTGACATTAGTCTTAGCAGCTGAAGGCACTTCTATCAGAAACAGTCATAATATGGCCCCTTCCCAGCCACGAGTATCCACCAAGTGAGTAAAGATCCCTATCAACTTTCAGACATACATTCAGGATAGCCTGTTCGCAGAAAACCAAGTATTTTCTTGTTGACTTTACTTTTTGTGCATATTTGGCACATTTACAGCATGGCATAAAACAAATGCCCAACCAATACCCTGACTCAGTTGTAGCTCAGTGAAGGAAACATTCAGTACACACGCAAGAAGCAGAGAGGACAAAATGAAGAACATACAAACATACGAACACCTGCCTGAAGCGAGAAGTGAGATGCAACTGGACTTTAAGCTCACCACACCATTGCCAAAGACCTCACACTTGAACATTACTAAGAGCATCTCTGATTCAAATAGCATTAAAGGTACCTCACGTCTGCAGGGAATGTGTGTGTGTATCTGCCCTCAACAGCAAAGACAAAAAACGAGGCAAAATTCAAATCTTGCAAAAAAGTGGCATTTTTCTTCCTCGTCATTAGACAACTCTGTTTTGTTATGATTAGGTCATAAGTTCTGCTTTAAAAATCTTCTCAGCATTAATATAATGAAGAAGGTAAAGGAAGTTGTACTATGTCTACTTAGTGTATTTCATTAATGCAGACTACAGCTGCTCAGCCTCCTCTACAACATGCAAGAGTTGATAAACATCACTGATAAACATCAACAGATTGGAGTTTTTTGTTGTTAGTGGGTTTTTTGCTGTCATTATGGTAGCCGGTGGTGGTAGGGTGTTGGCTTGTTATACATACATCAGTGAGACTGAAAACAAAAGGGATTTTAAATCAATGAAGTATGCAAAAAGACTATTCCCATTACACTGAGCCCATTCTAACAGACTGTATATTTTGTGTGTTATATCCTCAATTGTTTAAATTTGTACAGGAATTAACAATCTATAGTTTTAATAACAGAAATGAAAATAAAATTAACTATCACTGCCAGCCAGCTGAAGCTGCTTTACAGTGCTTTTCCAATCCTCTAACAAGCATATGAAGTAATTAAATAAATATAATTTCCATTTTTTTGAGATGGAGAAGGGGTATGATATAAGCAACTGCAATTACTTTCTAAATGGACTGTATGTCTCAATAATACACACAAAATTTTGAGCCATCAAAATTACTTCTGTAATTAAACTAGCTTGAGCCACAAATTCTCCTTTTCTGATCAAGGGCTTCATCTTTATGATTTTCAAAAACATTTGGAAATTTGCATAAATGCCATAGATTTGAAAGGCTGGTGTTGCTTCTATTTCTTTTGATTTTGAGGCTGCTGATAGGTTTTCTGCTTCTGTTAACAGTCCAGAAAAGACTGAAGTACACAACAGAACAAAGAAGGAGTAGGTTAGATCCCAAAACCTTCTGGAGACTGGAATATGTGGTTAAGTGACAGTCTGAACAGAAACAATTGGAAAGTACTGTTAACATAGACAGATACACGTCAAAACTACTCATCAGGCTGCACTAAGATGGCAGAACAGTGAGGGTGTTTATTTCCTAAATAACAGTTTGATGAGAAATTTCAGAATTCAAACACTTATCTAATAGAATTGGAAACAGTATTACAAGGCATCAAGATTCTGAGCACATAGCATTTTACTGAGAATAATTAAGTGTAATTAAAGAAGTGCTTTAATGAAAGGTTTTTATTAGGGTTTGTTCCCTTCACATTTTTTTAATGCTGGATATAGCTTGTATTTAAAAATACATATATACAAAATAGAGAATAAAAACCTCTGAATATTCATTTTCACTGGAATACAAACACACATTCTATGTTATATGGTACGTGTGATTCATGTGCAAACTCAGAAAAGGTCTTTTCATATATGAAAAGCTGTATAGAGGAAAAAAAACCCCAACAATTCAAAACAATGGGAGAATTTTCAAGGAATGTGGGAATAAAGGAGCTGTTCTTGGGTATATAGGCTGAGTTACGTGTATTATTGAACAAGAACACAAAAAATAATTGAGTGCCATTAACTGAATTTCTGAAGGAGAGAAGGTTCAGGAAACTGAAGAAAAACAAAATATTAAAAGCCAGCAATGTTCTGTGAAGCATGAAACAGTGAGACAATCCATGCATGAATGCTGCTCAGAACCAAAGCTCTGGTTTGTGTTCTGTCAATGGAATTCTCTGAACATTTTTTACTTTCACTAAGATGGAAAGATCATGAAAGAATTTAAAGATGCAAAAATAGACATTACGGCTATCCCACTTATAAAGGGGGAGTTGTGAAGACATATTCAAAATTTAAATAAAATGAATCATGTCATCCAGCTTTACAGAAATATCTTATACTTTGTGTCTACAGTGTAAAATCTTCTCCTCCACCCATCAGTCCTTTACAGTCTGGGATGCAATTGCCTGCCAAGGTCTGTGTTCTCACAAGTCATATTAGTAGCACATTTTTCCAAAAACCAGTTCAATAAGAAACTTTCATCATTATCTCCAACAAAGCTGCAATTTAACTTATATTAAGAACCAGCAAACCTAATCTACATAAGGGTAGAAAAATTAAGCACTGGGCAATTAAAGCAGTAAGGGAAGTAATGTATGATCATAATCAGAAAAGTTTGCAGTTAAATGTTTAACGAAAGTGTTTTCCCATTCCTTCAACCAAGAAAGAAACTGTTAAATTACAGCTTTATCTTATGCTAGAGCATCTGCCAGTGGGAAGCTCAGAAAACAATTTTAACCAAATATACCCTATGTATCAGGCCCATAAATTGCCCCTCAGTAGTTTCTAGCTATATGCACATAAGAAGAATTAATTTTGTTCAATAAGACACATTAAAATATATGCAAAATCTTCTGCTTTTCACCCGCCAAAAAACCACAGCTATGATAGCTGATGACAAAGATAAGATAACATGACTGGAAGCACAAATAGCATTGTTGCATAGCAACTGTTGATGTACATATGGTGATGTTTATGGAACAGAATGTAGTTCATATTTAATGCAGAAATAATACCAAAACCAGACTAGACAGCAAGACCTAGACAGCAAGAGACAAGTGTGCTTTGGATCCCTCTGCAGACATGACAGGAGCCATGCTTCCCACCAGCTCTGCTACACTCTTGCTCAGGAACACCACGACAGGCCTCAGTGATCTGCCCAGCCATGAAGCAACACGAAGTCCTCATGTGCAACAACCTTGCAAAGGAACTAGGGAGATAATTTGTAACTACCACATTCAGAGTCAGTATTATTCTCTGGGGCTATTTCAAAACACAGAAAAAGGAAAAGAAAACATAAATGGGAGAAATCTCAGAGCTAATCCAAACAGAAGATGCAGCACATGTGAAAGCCAGTACAGGCCAGATTTTTAACAGTATCTGGGATGGGAGCCACTTTACCAAGCTTCCTATTAGCTCAGATACATACTGCAGAAGAGCAAGAAACTGCAATTCATTACATTTTGGACACAATAAATTGCACCTCAGACGAGCCTACTGATGTCCCTTAACAAATATGGGACCACCAGACATGCAGACATTTACAATGAAAGAACTAAAGGATTTCTTTCAACACTACAAGTAGGAAGTTCAGTTAAGCAAGTTCAGTTAAGACAAAGCAAAACAAAATTCACAGAAAATCCATTCAGAAGATTAGAAATTATATCATGCAGAAAATATTAAATTACTTGTCAAATTTGATCTTTTTTGCTTGCTCTAAATGACCTGATGAGTCACTGTGAAGTGCTGAATTATCCAGAATATATAAACTGCCTACAGCATCTTCCAAGACCACAGCATATTTCAGGAAAGCCATCAAAACACAGCCACTACAACATAAGGATCCCAGGGTAAAAGGACTACACAGAGAACAGATCTCAGGGCATTCAGTGTGCTCAAAAAGAAGGGCAGAGTGGGGAACAAACCACAAACCCACAATCAAAAAAAACCCCACCCTGTATAATACAAACCCAATTGCTTTACGCCATTTGCTCAGGTTGATTTAAGTCTGTCCTCAGTAAGGGTATTGACTGAGAACAATAGTGCAAGAAGCACTTTTTTATCCATATTTCATTTTCCTAATTCCTCAATTGCACCCTTCAAGATAACATCTGCAGTTCCATACCAGTTTAATCTTTGGCCTGTGGTTCAAACTGACATATTGCTTGTGTTACATGGTGCAATATTAAAAAAGAAAAGGAACAAGATGCTTTTCATAAAAAAAATATGCTAATTATGATATGAAGACTAATACTAGTCTGTGAACCTAGGACTGAATGAATTTCAATTTCCTATTACTGCCTTACTGTAGATTGATGTGCAAAGATATGTAAATTTTTATTGAGTGCTTTTCCATGGTCAATATAGTGGGTTTTTCCATGGGGATTTTCTGCTAATACAGTAGCAGCCCTTCTTTCAACTGGGACATCTCTACAGTCCACTCTTCAGGCACTTGTTTTCCTACTAGCCATAATTCACTTGGAAATTTGCTGAAAATGGACTTGGAACTCAAAATATGCCTACACATTAAAGCACATGAGTGTATCTTCAGAAACATGGTACCTGTAAGGAATCTGACAGGAACTTGGAATGTTTGTGTCACGTTCATTTTTAAAAGCAAATAACAGTCAAGCAAGAAAAGCACAATAAAGTATATATTTGATTGTACTGTCACTGTACCAACTTAAATCCAACAGCAAAATATTTTAGCCATTTTGCATTTAAATCAGTTTCAGGAAAACTCATTGACTGCATGTTATGCTTGCTAATCTCAAATACAAATATTTTTGACAGGGTCTATGCTTATTCAGTGCTTCATCCCAATCATTTCTCATGTTACTGTCTACCCTTTGCTCCCAGTTAATACAAAAATTTCTACTCAGTAAATCCACAGTCCTCAAATAACTTTTTCTAGTTGCTAGGAAATGCAAAAATTTCAATTTATTAAATAAAAAAAATGGGCAGAGGAAAAATCAGTGTTTTTATAAAATCATATTCACAACAGAGACCAATTCAAGGAGAAAAAACCAAATACTAGTTCATACAAATAACACATGGGAACACAAAAATATATTTTTTCAGTCAAAACCCTAAAGGAGAATGTACACAATGTCCTGCACTCTCTATTGCATTCCACATTCCCTCTGCTCTCTCTGGCAGACTCAGAGGTGAAATGTACATGATAATCCCTGAGAACTTAAATCAGTTACTCGATCACACCAAGTAAATGGACAGACACAAAAAAACTACAACGGTGTTATGTATGCAGAAAACAACAAAACAGCCAAAATCTGACTTCCAAGTCTTCTATCTCTTACAGTACTGAGTTTATTGAAAGCAGACATACTGGAGTCATAACAACTTTAATTCTAACTTACCTACTGAAGTTTCTGTGAACACTGTTAAGGTCTGTCCTCCCACACTTTGCAGAAGAAATGGATGTTCCCTGGGTGCACTGACTGAAGCAGGCTTTCCTCCAATATCATTGATGCTTGCAAGCTCTTCATTCAAAGTAAATGACACCTAACAGTCACAATTGCCACAGTGTTACTAAACAGACTCAATTACACTGTTTCACAAGTTATGGGGAAACAAAAAGAGAGAAAACACAAGTAGTATAGCACATTCCTATTTCAAAAATAAAGGGTGATATAAGAGTCCTTCCACACTGATCTCTTGTTAAAATACAGAATTCAAAGCTTTCATGTACTTGATAAAATTTACTCAGTTTCAAAAAATTGTAAATTACTTCCTCCTGAAGTCAGAGAACAATTTGATTTTACTTATTAAAACATACAGCAATAATAAGTTTTCAGCCATTGCTCAGTGTGAGTGCTGAAAAATGTTTTGCACAGCCAGATGCGTTCCAGAAAAAGTGCTGAAGTACCACAACAAGTGCTACTAGCCTGGGACTCCTGAATTGCAAACAGCCCAGAAGAGGTTTAACCACAGCTCCTTTGCCATGTTCACATTGTATGCTCAATACAGAAGCTAAGGAAGGAGGGACTGGATAACCAGAATCTCTAGCTACAGACCACAGCCAGGAACTCAAAGAGGAATACTTCACACCAGCACCACATGCTTTTCCTGTGCATCCTCCTTAGCCTTTTGTACTAACTCATCTCAAGATGTTTGAAGAGAAAGTAAACAAAGTGAGGGAACAGAGAGACCTGATGCAAGTCCCAAAGGCATCTATGGGCAGAGCTACTAACAGAATTCTCCCTTCCTGATTCTGTGGTACAACACTTCACTAGAGGTATAGCAAAAAATATGTGACATTAGAAACCAGGACATTCTAAACAGTTTTTAGAATTCAAAACATAAACTTTAGCAATTACTTACCTCTGTTCTTCCTTGATTTCTGAAAAAGAAAATATTTAATATTTAATAAATATATAAATATTAAAAAATATTTAATAATGTAACCATAAACTAATTCCTCAAGTTCGACTTTCCTGATAAAAAAGCAAATTCAAATTCTAGTTTCGTTATTCATCTTCACTCCTGAACTGTTCAATTTTTTGTTATGCTGATGCCCAAGAATAAATAGGAAAAGTCAGCCTGTGAGAACAGAAGCAGCAAAATAACACATGTAAATAAAAGCAAATTCAGTAGTTAGTTTTCCCTAAACCTAGGAAATCAAACCTCATGTAACGAGACAGAGTGACTCCCCAGTATAATTTTGTACAACTTATATTCCTAATCACTACACAAGCAAATAATGTTCAAAGATCAGACAAATATGCACACTGTTGGCAAGAAACAGGATTATGTCTTAGAACAGGTGCAACATATTCTTATTTTACGCAGGTAACTTCTAAGAAACACACCCAGTAAATGTAGAGTAAAGGCTTACTTGACAATCCTTAGTTTTCCCACTTCACCTCTTCCTGAAGCTTTACTCCATTGTTGTGACAAGTACTTGGGGACCTAGGAAAAGACAACAGATTTCAAAAGCAGATTTTAAAATTCTATATAAATTGTGTATGTGTAAATACTTTAAATGGTTTTACCCTGACCACTTCAGAATAAAGTCTGAGCTAAACATAGTAGACAATAGAGAGCCATCAATGGTTATGGTTGGCAGGGGCCTTAATGGACATCTAGTCCAAATCCCCTGCAATGAGCAAGGGAATCTGTAACTAGATCGGTTTGCTCAGAGCTCCAACCTGACCTTGAATGCTTCCAGGAATGCCACACCCACAACTTGTCTGGGCAACCTGTGTCAGTGCCTCTCCACCCTCATCATAAAACATTTCCTCTTTACATCTAGTCTAAATCCACTCTCCTTTCACTTAAAACCATCACTCCTTGTCCAGCTACTATAGGCTCTACTAAAATGTCTGTCCCCATCTTTCTCATCAGCCCCCTTGAGGCACTGGAAGGTCTCCCTGGAGCCTTTTCCTCTCCAGGCTGAGCAGACCCAGCTCTATCAATCAGTCTTCACAGAAGAGGTGTTCCAGCTCTCTGATCATCTTTGTGGCCTCCTTTGCACCTGCAGAAGCAAGTCCACGTCCTTCATATGCTGGGGGCCCCAAAGCAGGACACAGCAATCCAGGGGGGACCTCATCAGAGCAGAGCAGAGGGATAGAATCCCCTCCCTTGACTTACTGCCCATGCTGCCTTTGTTGCAGCTCTGGGCACATTTGCCTTTCTGGGCTCCAAGTGCACATTGCCAGGTCACGTCCAGCCTCTCATCTACCAGCACCCCCAAGTCCTTGTCCTCAGAGCTGCTCTCAGTCCTTCCCTCCCTCACCTTGCATTGGTACTGGGGGTTGTCCCAACGCAGGTGCAGGACCTTGTGCTTGGCCTTGTTGAACTTTATGAAGCTCATGCAAGCTCACTTCCTGAGCTGTTATACACATGCACATATACATACATATATACACATTTGTGTTAGAGAGAGCAAGGAGAATAACAGCACAAAAAGAAAACCAACATAGAGTCTCAAATGAGAGAAAAATCTTAGTAACTTCAGTCTCAAATACTACTATCCAATCACAAAAGGCAGAAAAAGATCAGCATCATACTCTTAAACTAAGGAGTCTTAATATTTTATCCGGTAAAATTATACTTTTAAATATTCATTAGAAATTATCGTTTCTCTGGGAAAGAAAAGTCAACCAACCAATCACAGTGATGAGAAATTAAGCAATTTCTGGTGTGAAGGGAAGGAGTCTTAAGGCTTAAGAGTCTGGGAACCACAGAAATATTGAGCAGCAGACCACAGACTATTGCCACTCCTCCAATAGCAAAACAACCCTAGGCAAATCTGCCTCTCATCACTCATTCCCAGCTCTTCACTGCATTGGGCAAAGTCTTTGTGCAGCTGGTCAGTATATGGAAAGAGCAGACTGATCTAGCTAGGAGGAGCGAGTGACTTTTGTGTTTTAGCTGTGCTGATTTTATGTTTAGCAGGTGGAACAACCAAAGCAGCTCCCCAACCCATTTTCCAGAGCAGCTGCACAAAGTAGTGATTAGTCCAGGGACAGGAGCAAGACCTGCATAAAGTGAGGATTAAAAGCTGCTGCAGTGCTGCTACCTCACCTACACACTAATTCCTCTGGTTGCAAAGGCTGTGGTAACTACAGCATTGGGTGACCTGGACTCAAAACGGACAGTAAAGGCCTCTGGCAAGCAGCACACTCCTCAGAACTTTACAGCCATATTCTTTACTGGCACAGCAATGTTTGTCCTGGCTCACACAGTCCACAGCTACTGAAAACACCTGTGTCCCTGTGGAAAAATGTTGTGAGACACAGCCAGGAAGAAAGATAAATGCACTAAGCTATGCCTGGGGCGTTTTCTGTTTCAAGCAGCAAAGAAGCACTTTGAAGCCTAATTTTTGTCTTGCATAGAGTAAAACTAAGCGAAGCTGGGGAGAAAAAGAGCCTGTTCCAATAACTTGTTGACAAAGAACAACCTCCTAACTTCCTAAAGTTTACATTAAATTAACACTAACTTTGCATTTATTAGTTTATCAGTTCTTCAAGAACTCAAGAAGATACCTTGGAACTGGTGCTTAGTTAACACCATTATACTCACGGCACCCCATAAAATACATGTAGAATAACTACAAAATCCAGATGCCTCCAACTACTCAGACAAACTAAATGGCACTCCAGGTTCCCATAAAGTTCAGACAACTTTGGTAAAAAATACAACCAAAGCACAACAGAAAGAAAGTCATGAATTGGCACAATCTATTGATATATATTTTTTCAGTTTTCAAAGTGGTAACTTTCTACAGTAGATTCCAGTTTTAGCTTTCTTTCTGAAGTCAAGATAATTGCTATGACATGCTCCAGCTGACTCAACAGAAATATTATTACGTGTTTGCACCTAATCTCTATTTATACTGCCACCTAATAAAGGTAGATGCACGTTCAGTATGAGTGAACAAGGAGTGAAGGGCTCTCATGGTGTTAACGTCACTGACTTGCTATATAATACATTCAGACTGGGAACTTAGTCAGATTAAGAGGTTCCACATCAATTATACTCCTTTCAGTTGCATGGGAAAGTCTCAAAGATTTCATTTAATCATCTTTCTGCTGGCCCACTGCAGTCAAGGGCTATACAGAGAAAGACAAAGGGTTATGAAGGGCTGTGATCAAAGGGTTACTTCCAGCTATCCATAGGTACTTCAGATAAAACCAGGCGTACTCACAAACCCACATGCTAATGACGTAAACAATTTGGAAAGACTAAACAAAGTCTTAAATGCCATAGACATCTTGTTTTCCACCTTTCTTTTAACATTAACATCATAATTATGGTAAAGAGCCAGATTTCAAAATCTTAACAATCCTTTAAAGAACACACAGAGAACAAGAGCAACCTGTTTTTTATAGGCCAGAATTTTCACAGATCCCACAAAAGGATTTTGAAAAATACATATCCACAGAAAGAGTGACCTGTGGACAGAGTGCCTGCCCAACAGGACAAGTTTATTCTGGGATTTGCAGGTAAGAACATTCTTCTCTCCAAAAAAGAAAAAATACAATTTAATCACTAGAACAAATCTGACGTACTAAGGAGCATCACTTCAAGAGCTCTTCCCACTGCTGTTCTCCTCCTGCTACTCACATCACACAGCTGCCCAGGCTGCAGTACACAAGGCACGCTGCAGGCAGTGTAGGACACAAGGGTCCCTGCTCCACTCATCTTTCAGCTTGGGCACAGCCTCCTACCCCCTTTTGGAAGGGAACACATAAGCAGCATCTCTCTGTAACAAACTACTTCCACTTTTCTGCAAAAAATTAAATTAGCTCTTTCTCTATATAGCAAGCCATACACAGTGCATACAACAGAAATTAAGGTTGATTCCAGATTCTGTGTTTCAATTTTTCTTTGAACATACAAAAAATAATTAAATAAATATATCATATTTCATATATCATATAGAACAATGCAGCAGATTAAATAAAAAAAATAGACCAACACACTCAGGAACAAGAACTTCACATTCCAATGGCTAACACTAAATGGACTTCACTTTACCACAACTACACAACCAAATATTCTTACTATTTCTCTACCTTAGCTTTCACTGAAAACACAGAAATAAAAATCCAGTTGCTCTCTGGACCTGTACTAAAGCAACTCACTCTCTTTATGGTACCTCCTTTTGCTGCTCATGCTTCTAAAATACTCATCACTACATTTTTTTATTGCCTGTTAAGTAATCTCTCTGGAATACTTCCTGTGCTAACACAATGCAGGCTAAAAGGAAATCAAATAAGCCAGGTTTTTATTCCAGCAGAACTCAATGCTCTCTCCCTCAAAGGACGAATAAATTCAGCCTTGTTGTCCTATCCAGTGAAGATAAAAAGTACAGTTACTATGCCTCTGAGTTGGAAGTCCTACTAACAGATGTGGTTGTTTCCAAGTTCAAGTCTGAAGGAAATCAAAGGATAAAATCCTGCATACCCCATGTTATGGTCTATCAGTGTTAGTATGTTTTCAATATTTTTTACTACCATTAATATACAAGAAGACAGATGTAAGTTCAGAACACATGCATGAAGGACTACATCAACGTTTACTTAGAAGAGTAATACTCCAGCTTTCCTTTCAGTCCTGTTTTCTCATTAAACAGTGGTACCAACTGTATGTAAGTACACATGGGCCTGAAGATTCCTTGCTTCAGGAAACACCAAACTGCATCAGACTAAAGGACAAGCAAGTTCAGTATCCTGTCTCCAAATGCAGCCAATGACAGTTACTTCAGGAGGAACATACAAAGAAAACATATTTCCCCAGCATGCTCTTCTAATTTCTAGGGTGTTTTCGCAGACGTGGGACTTGGCATCATATTACTTTTTAATCTCTCAATTTCATTTTCTTGCCTGAATTTGACTAAATACGTTTGAGTTTCTGCGAAGTTTTGACACTCAGAACTTCTAACTGCAAGAAGTTACAAAATTTAACTACACATTGTGCAAAACAGCACCTCCTTTGCATGCGCTGAGTCTCATCAATGAATGACGCACCTCTAATTCTTGTGTTTGAACTGATTCTTTCCTGTTCACCTTTGCCTATTCACTACTTCCCTATCCACATATGGCATTACTCATTGCTTCAGATCTCTATCAGATTTCCAAATTAATCCTCTTGCCAGCCTAAAAGGTAACAATGTATTTATGAGTTCCCTCCACAGCCATCATTCCTTGTTGCCAAGACCACACCTGGTTCTCTCCTCTGTACTGTTCCCAGGTCCATTGTACACTTTCCACAGCAAGGGGGATGGGACCACTGACACCACAGTACACAGAGCATTCCAGATCGAAGCAACATGATGGTACAATAATATTTTCTCTTTTGTTTTCTGTGTCTTTTTCAATCATGTCTGATGTTGACTCTGCTCATTGGATATGTTCTTATAACATTATCCCCATGTATAGAAAAAACATACTCCTGAACAAGAAGCAGTAGAAACCCAGCTTCTGCATATATATAACTAGGATAGTTTTTCTCTATGCATGTCAGATTAGATCTTTCAACTCTTAATTTCATCTGCCATTTTATCATCCTGTCACTGAGCGTGTCATGATATCCTTCTGTAGCTTTCTTCTGCCAGCATTCATTGACAGTGCCCAGGAAAAGCTACTACAATTAGAGCACTTGCACAGTGCTCGTTGTGCCTTTGTACCACACACTCAGGTGTCAGTACGGAAAAGAAAGCCAGATGCAGAAACTTGCCCACCAAAAATTCTGCACAGCAAAGCAAGTCTGAAATCCCCAACCACTTTAAAGGGTCACAGTAAGAAGTTCTGGTGGTTGAAGTATGATGGTGTTACACCCACCTCACCACCCAGGACTAGTATTTGTGTACCACCATGTCCCCACAGGTTCTTTCAAGTTGATGGTCTGAACCTATTCCTAAAGAAGGAAGGGGAGGAAGGAACTGTTTCTCCCAAGACAGAATAAATGCAGGTCTAGAAAAAGAGTAGCACACCCAGACGGGACTCGAAGCAAGCAGGGTACATGCTCCCCCATCATCTTCAAGCTCCTCTTTCTGAAACAATGCTTGGTATTGTCAGCGAAATGTCTTGACGGCAAGACACTCCAGGGAACAGAGCAGTGCCAGCCTGTTAGTGGTGGAACCAGACTGGAGTGTGGCCCTGCACCAAACAGGTTTTATTTGACACCCTCACTACCTTTTCACAGCCCCCCCCATTACAGCTGTATTTCACTAGCACCAAAGGCAGCTGTAATGATAAGACATTGGCGCACACTTTCCTTATTGGATGTGGACAGTCACACTCAAAACTTTTTCCAACTCTCAAGGTTTTGGGGAAGTAAAAGTTATACTGCCATGTTTGTTGTACATCACACACCACAAGCAAGGACAAGGAAGAGATATTTTACTGTGAGGGTGGTGAGACACTGACACGGGCTGCCGAGAGAAGCTGTGAATGTCTCATCCCTGGAAATATTCAAAGCCAGGCCGCATAAAGCAACCTGGTCAAATGGGAGATGTCCCTGCCCACCGCAAGGGAGGCTGGGACTGAATAATCTTCAAGGTTCATTCCAACCCCTCAACATTCTGATTCTGGGATAGCTCCCCGGTAGCCCAACTTTCCCAGGGCTGTCTCCTTTACTCAGCAGGGATCCGGGCCCAACACGGCGCTGTCCCCGAGAAGGGGAACAGGCACAGCGGCTGTCCCGGGCCACAGGGCGAGCCTGACGCGGGCAGCCCCGGTCTCACGGCGCCCACCCCAGGCACGGCGGGGCGGGGACGAACGGAGGGGCCCGGCTG